GCCCCCCGCCCGCCGCTGCGCGTGCCTGTGGGCCTGATGCGGTTGGCCCCCGGTCCATCGGGGAGCCTGGCCCTGGAGGTCAGCTGCGTGGGCAGCGTCTGTGGCTCTGTTGGGCTGGGATGCGCAGCCCTCGGGTGGCCACCCGCCTCGCCGTGGCCAGGTGGGAACAGTGAGCCGCGTCTGCGAGGTCAGGACGGCCCGGACTTTGGTGCAGAGCCGAGTCATGGAAGCTCGGTTCTTTCTCCATTTGTGTCTGAGCGAGGCGCTCGGGGCAGCTCCACGGCGTTGCCCGTGAGTCCGAGCCTGTTGGCTGTGCGGGGTGATGGTCACTCCGTACAGTGTGTCTGCTTCTTCCCGCAGGGAAGCTCTGAGCAGGGCTTCCCTGGGCCCTAGCACTGACCCACCAGTGACTGTTTGGGGACAACCGTGAGAGCAGGTCAGGCTGCTGTCACAGGGAGGCAGGGGGGACCAGCCGCCGCATCACAGCTGGCCCCGCATGCACCCCATCACTACGTCCCGCTGGACCTCGCGCCCACGCAGGGTCCCTGAGCTCACTGGGGAAGAAGGTATGAGACAGGGTGGCTCTCTGGTGGGAGTCTCATGGCCAGGCTCTGGGGGAGAGGCCCGACCCTGGGCATTAGTGCCCCTGCAGTGGTAATGGGCAGTGCTCATAAGCCCTCCTGCAGATGCTCCGTCCCCTGTGCTCACGGGACGCTGGCACTCAGAGGCATGTTGTGCCAGGAGCCTGTCGGCTGGTGATGAGCTGGCTGCTCAGAAAGATGACCTGGAAGCCACGCTCTGGCAGGAGGTGAGGCCATTCCTGTAGGAGGGCGTGTCTGCGTATCCCCGAGCGGTCATGGTCGCTCTGCTGGTGCATTTACCTGGGGCTCACCCAGTCCAAGGGCGCGCCCCCCTCGGCCATCACCTTCCCCCACGTGGCCCTTTGTGAGAATCACAGGGTGACTGTTCTTGAGGAAGAGGATGTTCAGCTACATTGTCTGGTCTGCACACCCAGCCTGAACGCCACTCCCCAAAGCGCAGCCCTCACTGGTGCCCGGGTGCAGGACAGTGAGCCCCATTGGCCACCGCAGCCCCTCCCGGTGGGAGCGGCCAGACTCCAAAGGGCTGAGCAGCCAGGTCCCCCCATCCAGTGAGCTGAGCAGCTGGGTCCCCTCCCCCACTGAGCTGAGCAGCTGGGTCCCCCATCCAGTGAGCTGAGCAGCCTGGGTCCCCCCATCCAGTGAGCTGAGCAGCTGGGTCTCCCCATCCACTGAGCTGAGCAGCATGGGTCCCCCACCCAGTGAGCTGAGCAGTTGGGTCCCCTCACCCACTGAGCTGAGCAGCATGGGTCCCCCACCCAGTGAGCTGAGCAGTTGGGTCCCCTCACCCACTGAGCTGAGCAGCCTGGGTCCCCTCACCCAGTGAGCTGAACAGCTGGGTCCCCTCACCCACTGAGCTGAGCAGCCTGGGTCCCCCCATCCAGTGAGCTGAGCAGCTGGGTCCCCCCATCCAGTGAGCTGAGCAGCTGGGTCCCCCCATCCAGTGAGCTGAGCAGCTGGGTCCCCCCATCCAGTGAGCTGAGCAGCTGGGTCCCCCCATCCAGTGAGCTGAGCAGCTGGGTCCCCCCATCCAGTGAGCTGAGCAGCTGGGTCCCCCCATCCAGTGAGCTGAGCAGCTGGGTCCCCCCATCCAGTGAGCTGAGCAGCTGGGTCCCCCCATCCACCTGGGGCCCCCCCCCCAGTGGGCTGAACAGCCTGGGTCCCCCCATCCAGTGAGCTGAGCAGCTGGGTCCCCCACCCAGTGAACTGAGCGGCCTGGGTCCCCTCACCCACTGAGCTGAACAGCTGGGTCCCCCCATCCAGTGAGCTGAGCAGCCTGGGTCCCCTCACCCACTGAGGTGAGCAGCTGGGTCCCCTCACCCAGTGACTGATGAGCAGTCATGCCAGGGAGGCTGCCTCCTGGGCCTCAACCAGGAGGGGAGACACCCTGGTGACTGAGTCCCAGCAGGTGTGAGCCTGTGAGGCACATGCCAGTGCCACTCATGGGAGGGACCGGGCACTATGTCCCCAATGTCCCAGCTGAGCTCAGTCGGTGGCGCGTGGTGTCCCAGGAGGCAGGCCAGGTGGCTCGCTCCTCATGAGTCAGCCCTTGGCCCCGCGCCTCCATGTGATGTGTGTCTACGCGCAGGGCTGGGGGTGCGGGTGGAGGGCGCCTGACCTAGCGGGTACCCAAGTCACCCTGCCCGTGTCTCCCCAGCGAAGCGGTACTGCAAGGACGCCAGCCCCAGCAGCAGCACTGCCAGCAGCTACGCGCCCAGCAGCAGCAGCAACTTGAGCTGTGGCGGTGGCAGCAGCGCCAGCAGCACCTGCAGCAAGAGCAGCTTCGACTACACGCATGACATGGAGGCAGCCCACATGGCAGCCACCGCCATCCTCAACCTGTCCACACGCTGCCGCGAGATGCCGCAGAACCTGTCCACCAAGCCGCAGGACTTGTGTGCCACACGGGTACGCACACCTGCCGGGCAGGCACGCGGGCCCCGTCCACCCCCGAGGGCACACTGCCCCTCAGGACACAGGGCAGAAGTTGAGACGCCGTCTCACTGAGCCTCCCTTCTGGGTGACCGCCCAGCTCTGCGGGAGCAGCTTCCCGGCACCTGGTCAGGAAGGGGCCAGGTGTCTGAGCTGGCTGCACTCACTGCCTGTGTCCCCGTAAGATCCAGGCTCATTTCTGTAAACAGAGGGACCAGGAACCCGAAGACCCAGCATGCCTTGAACTTTCAAATACAAGGACAGCTGTCAAATAAAAGGCAGGCCTGTCCCCCTGCTGTGCTCCCAGCAAGTCACCCAGAACTAGGGGACAAGGAAAGTGCAAATCCGATGTCCACAGGGGCCAGTCTTGCAGGTACCGCAGCTTGCATCAGCTCGGAAACCAGTCTTTGTGGTGGTTTATCATTTTGATTTTGGGGTCCCTGACTCATTGCTTGTGCCCGGTCAGGAGAGCGGGTTAGATGGCAGCCAGGGGCCGCCTGGCGAGGCCACGAGGGGGTGCTCTCAGAGGACCTGTGCGCGGCCAGGGGTGGTGGTGCCTCCTCTCTAGGAGCAGAGGTGTCGGAGCCTTGCCTGGAGCTGCTTGCGTGCACACGGCCTCACACCTGCCAGCAGTTCTGAATGAGGGGAATCTGTATGAAGGGAGAGAAGCCAGCAGAGTCATGATCTACAAATGCGTTTTTATTCATGTTTTATCCTCGACTTTGGGAAAGAACCAGGGCACGCAGTGTCCGTGGTGGCCAGGGCTGCCCAAAGGGAGGCGGCCCCGGAGGAGGTTCTACAATAAAAAAAGAAAAGACTGTCCCCTCCCGTCTTTGTACTTCATTACGATTAAACTACGACTGAGAGAGTTGAAGGCAGCATCATGAAGGCCAAGGCGCATGACAAAGCTGGGGCAGAACAATGCTCTCCGAGTTGTCAGGGAACAGCCCAGGGTGGGCCTATCCAGGCACCTCCCTCTGCCGTGACGTCAGGTGGCGGCGGCAGCTCAGCTCAGGCCGCTGTGTCCCTCCAGCTCTCGCGTGGCCGTTCCTCCCCTCTCCTGATTCCCTCCCTCTCTCCTTCACGCGCCCTTCCTTCTCCCCTCCGGAGGGCTGAGCTCTGAAGGATTCTTGATCTGTTTCAAAGCATCTTTTGAAAAGGGCGCTCGCCCTGGCCCTCGTTGTTAGCCAGTTGACTGCATTGCAGGTTTGCTGGACGCAGAGCAGCCAGGCCCAGTCCCGGCCGCAGGCGCTCTGAGTAGCGTGGAAGCCTCTGCCTCCTGGGCTTTGGGTTAGAAAGTGAATTCCCACCTTCCCCTCCAGCCCTCCCACTCTTGTTTGCTCCTGCTCCGAGGCTTGAACTATTCAGCAGCAGTGAAACCAAAGGAGAATTTTTAAGGATACATCCACTTTAAGTTTATATAGTTTTATGATAACTATGTATTCTATACACATTATAATTCTGATCGCTTAATAGGTATTTGAAGTGGAATGGAATGGAAATTAGGCATGTGTTTGATTTTTCCAGAAGCAGAGATGTACTGGGAGAAAGAAAGATGTGGGTAGATAATAGGTGTGATCAATAGATGACAGACAAGGGTAGGTAGATAAGTGATAGACAAATAGACAACGGATAGGGGCGTAGATGGGGGGTGGATGGGTGGATGGATAGACGGGTAGATGAGCAAGGGGTCAGAAGACAGGATGCAGGCGTGCAGCCTGGGAGCCGGGCCGCGGGACAGGGTGGAGGACCCACTGCTGCTTCCTCGCTGGGGCTGACGTACGGGATGGTGAGCAGTTTCTCCTGTGCTCTGTGTGGGCTGGAGGCGGCTGCGTCGGGGATGGACGCATGGTTACCTGTCTCTCTGCCGACAGAACCCTGACATGGAGGTGGACGAGAACGGCACGCTGGACCTGAGCATGAACAAGCAGAGGCCGAGGGAGGGCTGCTGCCCGATCCTGACCCCGCTGGAGCCCATGTCCCCGCAGCAGCAGGCCGTCATGAGCAGCCGGTGCTTCCCGCTGGGCGAGGGGGACTGCTGGGACCTGCCCGTGGACTATACCAAGATGAAGCCCCG